TATATTTTTGGAAAGGTAATTTTAAATTCTTTTTAGTTAATTAAAAATATAGAGTGTGTCCCAAATATAAAAACTATTTTTCTGTTGATAACTCTTAAATTATTAATTTTAAAAAAAATTATACTTAAACCATTAAATTCTACGTAAAAAGGTGCTTTGGAAATGTTTTCATAGAAATACAAAATTTTCCATAGTAAAAAAGTTACAGCGATTTGTTAAAAATGCAAATTTTTGAAAAACACCCCGTAACTCCGAAACGGTAACAGATATTGATATGCAGTTTACACCATCATCTTTTTGATGAAAATTGAGCTGCAGACACCGATATTAGTTTTTCTCTATCTTCTATAGAAAAGGGTGTTTCCATTTAAAAGCGTCGAATTTGACCCACCCTGTACAACGAATGGCTGACGACAGAATACCAAAGCAAGTGTTGCAGTGGACACCTACAGACAGACGTAGACGAGGCCGACCTAAACTTTCCTGGAATCAAGGAATCGACAGGCCCATGTCGGAAAGGAAGTTACTACCAGGAGATTGGGACAACAGACGGAGATGGCGCATGGAGACCGGAGGGTGACGCACACTGGCCGATTTGAATTAAATCATGGCATAAATAGAGTTACGCGTTTTGCTTTATTAAAAATTTAAAAAATCAACATAATTTACCTAAATATACACACGGAATTAGTTTTAGTTTCATATTTACCAGAAATTGTATTATACAGGGTAACCTAGGCTAATCAGAATACCGTTTATATGAACTAAATAGGCAACATTTTAATTATAGATTATTTCACTGGGGAAGAAACAGTAGCATATGCTAGGGTGGAATATGGGGACACGATCCCTACTTTTTTAGATATTTAAATTTTTATGATATTACTAATTCTAGTTTTAACAATTTACATTTTACACAAAATGGTTATACTGAAAAATAAATTTATAAAATGATGTTCCTAATATTTTGAATTTTAACAGTTTTACGTTTAACAGGAAAAATTAATACCCATTTGTCTAAAGAAAAAAATATTAAATATATGTAAATATTCACTAATTTTTACATTTACCATATACCACTATAGTATTAGTCCAAAGCTAATAAAGCAATATTAAGGAGGTTTAGAAAAATGTTTATCTGATGATTAAAATTTACAACTATCTTTCTTGAACATTTTATTGGCTCTTTTGGCCTTTTTAAGAACATAATATGACCTAGCTAATTAGTTCATATTATTTTTAAAATACAGACTTATACTATCATTTATTGGTTTTAAAAAAGTTCATATCTCAGTAGCCCCATTCCATAACTGCAGTTTTAATTTTTTTTAAATAAAGCTTTTTAAATACATTTGAACACATCAAATATATATCTGTTTAACTGCACACTTAAAACTTGCCAACATTTTAATCAACTTTGGCCTAAACTGAAACAATAAATCAATCATTTATCAAGTTAAAATCATGTGTAACTACTCTGCTGGAATAGTAGAGTATCAGCACTGACAATTTTGTGACCAATTGTTAAAAGTAAATATTTCTATTTATGCCATGATTTGATCAAATTCGACCAGTGTGCGACGGTGGACGCCGTAAAAACCGGATACATATATACACATCCAAAACACCATAATGTAGATACCAACATAAGCCACCAAACTATTATAATTCCACCAAACTATTAAAATGCAGTAAAAATAGGTTGGGGGAAAACGGAGGTTATATTTGGATCCAGGAGTTCATTTTACATAAAAATTGACAAGAACTCTGAAAAGGCCCATTTCCATCCAGAACAGTGTTCTATAAAAAATCGAGGCACAGGGAGTGCTAGAAAAAACACTGTGAAAATGTCCAGCACATCACTATATTTTTATTAAAATATAGTCGGGTTTATTTAGTCGAGGTAAATCGGGCTTATTAACCCGATATACCTCCTTAAAGTTTAACACTATTTTTTATAACATCTAAATCGTAATTTTATCTTTACTGAATCACATGCCTTAAACGTTTCTAAAATTAATTATGAGAAAACAAAAAAATTGGCTTTGACAAATGAATTTCAGAACAGATGACTAAAAAGAATGGAACTTCCTTTCTTCTACGAAAATTGCATTTAAATCTGTAGGATGTGTATTTTCATGTTTTGTGTGATGTATTCGAGTCATAAGTTGGGTTTAACATTTTTTATTGATACAAAAATAGAATTAAAAATATTAATATGTTCAATGTCTATATTTATCACAGTTAAGTAGTTTGAATTTTTGTCTACAATTAGCTGATTTATAACTTATGTTCTCCACGTCACCAGAATGTTCTTATACGGCGTGTTTTAAAAAACATTTGCCATCGATCGTGGGGAGATTTCTGTCGTAAAAATAAGATTTATTTTTCATATTAACATAGGTACGATTCTGCTTTGTTTTGTAACTACAAGGGGTTAAAGCCTTCATCTTTTTTCAATTTATTATAATTTTCTTCTAAGTGCTTTTAGCGATTCGAATGAAATTTTGAGGGTAAAAGTTACAATAAGTGCGACATATTTTAATGCTGAAAAAGTGTCGACATATTCACCAGGGACAGCATATGGGTATTACTGGAATATTTTTCTAAAAAAAAATATTATTTATATATTAAATATTTTTTCTCTTATTAGCAAAATTGTGTAGACCGTAACATGCTGATTAAAAGTTGTCTCTTGATATTTTGTAGTGTTCGATCGAGTGTTCGATATACTTGAGGAGATAAATGCAATGTAATAATTTGCCTTAATCCAATTCTAATAGCAACCTTTAAAATGTTTTAATGCCATTAACTTGCCCAAATGTTAAATAATTACTCATTAATTCCTCACCAAATGTATGAAAAAAGTTCGTATAAATATGGATGCGGAAATGCATAGTTTTAATATATATACATGATATTCAGTGGTGGACTAAGGGGGGGGGGAGGGGCGGTCCGCCCCGGGCCCCGTCTTTTAGGGGGTCTCCAAATCTCAATAAGTAATTTTTTATTCAACTGGCAAATAAGACCAATATATGTTCAGTAGTTATGAAGCAATTTGTAGGTGGAGTATGCAAACCATACGTATACGCAAACTATAAACAGTATAAATAGAAGCAGATATTTTCTTAATTATCAATTATCAGGCCCCAGTAATTCTCAATGGCATTTTCTATTTAGGAAATTAAATCAAGGGTCAATTTTCTTTGTTTAAAATATCGAGTAATTATTATTTTTCATAAATTTAAAGATTACAATAATTATGAATATAAACTTGAATTTATTTATTTTAGCTTTTAAGTTATATTTCAATGGTTTCATTATTTATTTTTACTGAATAAACATTTTAAAATACAACCAATGCACAGCATAATTTGTATTCTAGCTTTCTAACCGATGCATGGTGAGTACTGCCGTCTTTAGTATAACGGGGGCCACGAGTCTAAGGCAGCGAAGGGGCCCCTCGAATCTTGGAGGACTTGAAATTGTATTCGTTTTTCGATTTAAAAATATTATAATAAGCTTTAAAAAATTGATGTTCGAGTTGATGTTATCGTTTTTGAGTTATCATTGTTATACAACAAGATTTATCGATTAAAAATATTTTCAATATGACGGCACTTCCGGAAGTACCGGAAGTTGACAGCAACTTTCTTATTTTAAATGGGTGCCACCATTTTTATTACATACTTAAATTCTCTGTAAAATTCTATGGATATTGATGTTACACTCTATACCTAACATTAACCATTTTTGAGGAAAAAAAATATTTAAAAATTTTGGACGAAAAAAACTACCTGCCAAAAAAATAAATACTGCTGCCTTAAAAGTTTAAATAGTGTATTTATAAAAATTTATTTCGTATTTTAGATCTTTAGTTATATCTAATAGTTGATATTATTAATAATATACCGTATAATCGAAAAAAAAACAGCGTAAAGTTGGCTTCAAAATGATTATCAAACAAAGTTTCACAATATGACATGGCCAAAACTATTGTTTTATATCAGTTGACGTTTAAAGTCATAGGGCTACTGGTTAAAATCAAGAAAAATATGCGCTTTATCTATATACGCTTTTAACTAAATCTTAAATAACTTAAGAACAATTTTTATTTTTTTCGGTATAGGAACATATGTATAGTTCAAAAAGTAACTAATTGAAAGGCCTTTTCACTAGTGAAATAAAAAAGTGGATTTCTATTTGAAAAAAATGATTTATGATAATTTTTTAGTCGCTCAATTCCATGACAGCTGCGGCCATTATTATATGATATTCGGCCACAATGCTTTATTCAGGATTTTTGAAATAGATAGCCACATGTCTTCTCTTTATGGTACAGTGGCTGTGATAATCACTAAATTTGACATTTAGGCTATACACATATTTTTGACAAATTTTATTTGTCCAAAAATTATAAATATTTTTTTTTTCCTCAAAAACAGTTAACGTTAGGTATAGAGTGTTTAACATTTCATCAAATTCATCAAATTTTACAGAGAATTTAAGTATGTAAAAAATGAGGACACCCGTTTAAAATAAGAAAGTTGCTGTCAACTTCCGGTACTTCCGAAAGTGCCACCATATTGAAAATGTTTTTAATCGATAGATCTCGTTGTGAAACAATGATGTGCAAAAAATCTCCGATCTAGATATTGTAGTTATCTAGAAACTTCTAATGCACGCTCAGCCTGGGACACCCTATATAAATACTTGAATTTTGTCAACCATTATACATACGTCATTCCATATTTACAAAATGTGCATTAGAAGTATATCATTATCTGAAGAGACCGGGGGCCACATTTAGCTTTGCCGCCCCGGGCCCCCGACAGGCTTAGTCCGCCACTGATGATATTAGAACTTTTAAAAAATAAGCCGTTTATAATTATACCATTATTTTTTTAGGGAAATTTTCTGTAAGTAACACTACATCAGTTTTATAAAATTAAATAAAATTCAGTAATAAATCACATTATTTAAATACTTTATTAATTTTATTCTTATTATAATTTTATTAATTCCGATAAATAAAATTGTTTTTTCTCATCGAGGAGATCGAATTGAACGAAATATCCAGATACATCTTTTAATCGGCATTAAATGGCCTACACAATTTTGATAAGAGGCACATGTTTCTTTTTTAGAAAAATGTTCCAGTGATATGTTCCAGTGATTTTTTTTTGAAAAGGCTTCTGTGTTTTTCGCCTCAAAGCTATAGGCATTATCTACATATATTACTACATTATATTATAACTTATAATTTTACAAACTTAATACTTATACGGTATAGTATAAAAGACAAAATAGGTCTTATAAAATCTACTTCTTCTGTTCTGATTTCTCCCTCCATGCTTTTATACTTGGCAAATTAGAAACCTTGTCAATAAGGCCGCTTAAAGCTGGATAGGGCTTCAACAGACCGGCATGATGTTTCTCTAACTCTGCTAACGTTCCGGCAAATTGAAAATCTGACCAAGTTAGCTAGAAAATAACATAGAGAATATTAAAAAAAGTTATTTAGGATGGAATCATCTCTGTATTAATAGTTATAGTAACAGAAATTACACACAATACAACAAAACTATCCATTATACCATGTGTTTCTCAAAAGCGGCTCTTCCCTATAACTCTTTTTTTATTCAGATAAAAAAAAGAGATTTGGTTTGTTAGTATAATATGATATAAATTAGGATTGATTAACGTATTCAATTGTTTTCGGAAGTGACCGAAAATGTTTCACCGAAAATTATAATTTTAGTAAATTAGTATTACAACTTTTCATTTTTAAAAGGCACCCTCGGTATTTTTAGGGTTCCGTGCCCAAAGGGTAAAAACGGGAACCCTATTACTAAGACTTCGCTGTCCGTCCGTTCGTCTGTCACAAAGGTCTATCTTATGAACCGTTATAGCTAGACAGTTGAAATTTTCACAGGTAATGTATCTATGTTGCCGCTATAAGAACAAATACTAAAAACAGAATTAAATAAATGTTTATAAATAAAAAAGTACTTTCACTAAACATTATCCTTTAAGTAAGAATTTTAAATAGAATCTTTCAAGTCCTCGGTGGCCGCGTGGTTAAAGCGTTAGGACTTTACGCTGCTATGACGTTGGACCCGTAGTAAGCCAGGTTCGAATCCTAGTCAAGGCGACTTTTTTTCAATGTTTTATTTTTAATTTTTACATATTTTTACATATTTATTTTTACTTTTTACATATTTATATTTGATTAATACAATTTTTAGTAATGTGTTTATTTTTTTTAAATTACTTATACGCGCATTCAAAATTTCAGCTAAATCTGTATAGATAATGAATGGTACGTAACCCTTCGTGCGTGAGTCCGCCTGGCAATTGACCAATTTTTATTTTACTATGTTCGATAAAAAATGACGCTCTGAATAGAGTGACATATCATATGTTAACTTTTGACCTTTTTGCTTAAAAATCGTATTTTAAATTTCAATCCAGAGTGCAATGGCCTTGGAAAAATAGATTTGATCGTCTAATGTTTTTCGTGTCTTGTCCTGGCCGGTTACGATATTGCCGCCTAAATTGTATTTTTAATCTTATCTCAATTTTTCTGAATGGAACGAGGGTGGCTCATTAGCATATTTGGAAAAAGTATATTTTACGAATAATTGGGTACCACATACTAGGTATTTCGAGTCAAATTATCGTTATAAACGGTATATTACAATATCAAATTTAAATTATTAAAAGTTACAATACCAAACCATAAGCGAAAATGTCACAAGATGACATATGATTCTACTATTAATATAATCGATATGACTACTATTCAGACAGTCAATTTCTATCAAATAAAGTAAAAAATATTAAGGTTGTCATTTAAAAATCAAAAGTTTTAGTAATTTCCGGTGAAACAGGAAGTAACCGAAAAAATTGAATACGTCAGTCAATCCTGGTTTATTTCATAATATATACTAAATAATATATAATATTTTTTAAAACACAACTTTTGTTTTATGAGATAAAATATTCATTATAAAACTAATCAAATTTTACTGTTTTTAAATAAGTTTTATGGCGTATTAATATATGTATATTAAATAACAAAATATCATCCCCGACCGTCAAAAGAAACGGTTACGGATATATTTTTTTAATGGGATGCCCTCAATATTAAAAATGTATTCGTATTCGTATTCACTAAGTGTGGGTTGCAGGGACCCTCCACTGCGGCCGCGATGGCCTATAGTGGCTCAGGTTATACAAGCTCTTTAATAGAAAAAGAGTGTTAATGTTCACCCTCAAGACCAAACATTTTAACATAGGCTGTTATGTCCGAAGGTGATATGTCTCCTAGGTCTAGCGTGGTTTTGCAAACATCTCAAACTTGGTCCTGCTCCCAGCCGGACAAGTACACATAACGTGCTTCATTGTTTCATCATCTCCATATAGAGTCAGCATTTGGCGTCTTCCACCAGTCCCATCCTCTATAGGTGTGATCTCAGCCGGCAGTGGGCCGTGTATACTGCAGTGAGCGTAAGCGCTCCATTCCTACCAGCCTTTAAGAGTTCTTCTGTTCTACGTTTGGACTGTCATTCCAGTTCCGAAACATCGCACCCCTAACCCATTCCAGAGCCTGTCGCTTACGAGATTTTTTGGAACGCTAAATGTCTGTTCTGGGTCCACGAATGGAGAACCTGCTCTAGTATTGAACCTGCACCAGTTTTGGTAAGGGAATCAGCACGTTCGTTTCCCTCTAGGCCGACATGTCTCGGTATATGGATACCGACGAATATGGTTTAGCGACACTTTGTTCCCCGCTCTAATATATTGAGTAGTCTACAATGAAGAATCGCCATAGGCGTGTTTTTCGTTGCCTCAAGTGCTTTCTACGCGGCATCCGAAAATGTGCTTGTTGTTTTCCCGGTGAATTGTTGTTAATATGTATTGTTCTAAATGTATGGTTGTATAAATGGTTATATTGGTTAGCGTTGCCGAACATATTGTTGATAAAGAACATTGTATAGATCTTAATAATTTAAAATTAATTAAACAAGTCTCAAATTACAGGCAATTAGATGCATATGAAAGCATCAGAATTAATAAATGTAAAGATAGTATGAACAGAGACAACGGTCCAATTCCTTCAAGTTCTTTGTTCCTACTACTCTAGTGGCGGAAATCTAACTGTTACACTCATTTGGCTCTGACTCGGTTGGCTAGTTTTTGCCACGCCCACTCGGTGTCCACTGGGCGAGTATATAAACGCTCAACTTGTAGATTGTACTTTAGTTTATAATCATCTGCTGATGATGCTAACATGGTTAGCGAAACGCGCGTCCAGTGTAAAAAGAAAAGGTGTTTTGGTGTATTGTGGTGATTTAGTGTTTTTATTTTGCTGTTTAACACCAAAGGTTCCAACCCTCAACTGTAATATTTTTTCTGATCTCAGAAATATATTATACTTTATTGGTTTCAAGATTAGGTTAGGTAGTTAACCATTTTGTTTTACATATGCCATTTTTAAACATTTATATCAAATTTAAACTAAACTAGCAATAATTGATAGTTTAATTATCAATCTATCAATAATTAATTATTCAATTGTTTTCGGTCACTTCCTGTTTCACCGGAAATGACTACAACTTTTGATTTTTAAATATTATCCTCGGTATTTTTATTACTTTACCCGGTAGAAAATGACATTAAATTATTCGTAAAAAAATACTTTCTCCAAATATGCTAATGAGCCACACTCGTTCCATTTGAAAAAATTGAGATATGATTAAAAATACGATTTGGGCATCTTTTAACCGGCCAGGACAAAACACTAAAACCATTAGACGGTCAATCTATATTTCCAAGGCTCCCTGATTAAAAATTAGTATTTTTAACATAGCCATGGCACTCTAAATTGAAATTTAAAATACGATTTTTTATTAAGTGAGAAAGTAAAAAGTTGACGTATGATATGTCATTCTATTCAGAATGTCATTTTCTATCGAATAAAGTAAAAAAAAATACCGAGGATGCCATTCACAAATCATCATTTTAGTCATTTCCGGTGCAACAGGAAGTGACCAAAAACAATTGAATGCGTCAATCAATCCTAATTTAGGTCATATACTAACATACCAAATCTCGTCTGTTTATCTGAAAAAATAAAAAAGTTATAGGGGTGGGCTACTTTTGAGACGCATGCACCCGGTATGCTCAGACAATCAAGCACCACTTAAGATGCTTATTAGCCCAACCTTTTCATCGAATCTCATTTGGGTAGGCCTGGATGAACTTGGAACTTTGGCAGAAAGGAACAGAATTAAATAACTCTGGGTGCAGGACAACAACAAAATATCCAAGACAACGAAAAATCCGATGCACGAGCAAAACAAGGATCATCAGAATCTTCCCTGGGGCCAAAACCAGCACTGAAAATACCAAATAGTAGCAGTAAAATCCGTAGTGCAGTAAAATCCTGGATCACGGAAAACACAGGAGCACAGGAAGAGCAATGACTTTATCCAAGGCCCTAATTCTAAAATCACACAGGAGCTGTGTTCAAAAGCTAACAGAAATAATAAGCTAGCAGCTAATGCTTAGCAGAAATAAAGGGCACATTACAGGTTTCTTGAGAAGATATATGTACACACAAGTGCCAACCTAATGGCAACCTAGTGGTAACCAACTGGCAACAAGCTCAACCTGTATCAAGAAAGTATTTGCTGCCTCTAGACTCTCAAAACTTTAAAGTTCCTGAAACAGCAGAGCGCATTATGTCTCACTGCGAGACTCAGGATTACAAGGGACACTTTCTATTCGAAAAAATAAAGCTAGAACCGGAAGATCTATGTTCCCATCCTATCAAAGACAAGCTGGTGCTTATGTAGGTCTTTGAAAAAAAAAGAAACAAAGAAGTTATGGTCAACAAAGCGGGACAAAATAAAATAAAAACACTGTACCGTGATCCGACAGTGTATCCTCACTCCATTTTAGAGACGATTGCCTCAAATTTTTCCAAATAGTAAGGTATATCTTCTTCAAAGAACTTTTTCCTGTGTATCTCTTTCTGTGCAGGATCGTTTTCCAGGAAATACTTCAGACCCTCTAAAATGATAAATAAAAAAATGTATGTCATTGGAAAAAAAATGGTAAAATATAGTTTTATGAAAAAAAAAATACAAAAAAAGACACTACTGTATTTTTCTGATATTTTACATTAAAAAGGTAGTATCTGTGGTGCTCTATCCTAGACCGGCACTCTATATAGGGATGGTCGAACCCGTTATTTTTAAATAACAGTTGAAACTGATGCTGTTAAATATAACAGCTTAAAATAACAGATATCTGTTATTTTTAACTGTATTGTTAAACATCTAAAAGAACATAGTCAAAATTGTAGTGAAATCAGTAATCTTTATATTTTTTTCATATCTAAAATTTAAAATTAATCAAAAAACAAGAATTTTTCTTATCTTTTTGAATATATCTATATTATATTATTAATTAAGAAAAATAATAGTGTTTTAAATAACGATCAACATTAATTACTGATATTTAAAAAAGAGTTAATAACTTTGACGGTCTTCATGTATTTTAGTTGTTGAGAAGTACCTAATATTGTTCTTTAGTAGATTTGTAAATCACAAGTTTTTGATATCGTTATTGATGATAGGTAAATAATTTTTTTAAATAATTTTTTTTTTGAGGAGTGTCAAAACTTAGCAAAAATAATGAAAGTACGTACTTAAAAATATTAGTAAAAATAACTAAATCTTAGTTATTTTTACTAATTTAACAAAACTCTAAAATCTAAATAAATATACAGGGTGGCGCACCTCATTCGCCTCGGTTGATTATACGCAAACGGAAAGATGTAGAAACAAAATATTTTATGGGTATATGTGGGGAGGAAATGTTCACAATTTAAAATTATTTTGAAATATACAGGGTGTCTCAGAAGTAGGATCCATACCAAAGTTATATTTTTTCTTATGGAACACCTTTATTTCATTTTTGGATTCTTGGGCCCAAAAAAAGACATTTATTATAAGGGTTAAATATGTTTAAAATTATTGTTTTTTGAGATATTTAAAGATATTTAAATATGCATGCTACAAGAGAATTGATTATCAATGCCCTGTACATTACTTTTTCAGAATTAATTATTGTGCTGAGTTTAAAGGCAAAGAAATAAACTTTACTGAAAAATTTGATTACTTCGTTTAATGTATACAGGGGTATCAATAATTGCTGGTCTATTTTAAATATTTATTTTACATAAAAACTTTGTTATTTTAAATGCAACACCCTGTATTTTTTAAATAAATCGAAGCAGATTAAAATGCTCTTTCAAACTATATTAGGGTTTCCTATACCTATCTATCTCAGATTTTGATAAAAAGCGATTTTTAAATAAAATGGCAATCAAGATGGCTGGTATCGCCATGGCAATTTTCTAGTGACAGTTAGTAACTGTTTTCAAAATCAACATTAGTTTATAGAGTTTATTTAAATCTATACCAGTTTAATTTTATTTAATTGACCTACAATAAATAATATTTATTAATATGTATTTATTATTCTATCAAGAAAAACGAAGAAGTACTTAGTTCTTTGTTTTATTTTACGATAACTTGTAGATATATGAATTTTGTATAAAAGAGCCAATTACGGCAAATTTAATTTCTTCACTTCCAACGACAGGTTTCTGCCTAATAGGTTTTTTATAAACTACACTACCAACTCTGCGAAATAGGAAATAGGACAAGTAGTTTTTCAAAGGAACGCTTATCAGGAAGATTCCTATTTGGATATCTTTGAGCATTAGCTCTAGAGGCCAAGAAATAATTTTCCTCACAAAACAAAATCACTAGTAACATATCTATTCTTTCCACCAGCAGATATGGCTTTATTATTCTTCATAAAATAAAGAATACTTACTTATTAAACTATTGTGGGTAAATTTTAGTAAAGTGTTTAAATAATAATGTCCATACACTAATGTCGATTTTGAAAATACTTAGTAACTGTCACTAGAAAATTGCCATGGCGATACCAGCCATCTTGATTGCCATTTTAATGAAAAATCGCTTTTTATTCAAAATCTGAGATAGATAGGTATAGGAAACCCTAATATAGTTTGAAAGAGCATTTGAATCTGCTTTGATTTATTTAAAAAAATACAGGGGATTGCATTTGAAATAACAAAGTTTTTATGTAAAATAAATCCGTAAAATAGATCACTACTTTTTGGTACCCCCTGTATAAATTTAAGAAAGCAATAACATTCTTCAGTAAAATTTATTTCTTTACCTTTAAACTCAGCACAAAAATTAATTCTGAAAAGTAATGTACAGGGTGATCATAATCAATTCTCTTGTAGCATGCATATTTAAATATCTTTAAATATCTCAAAACCAATGATTTTAAATATATTTAACCCTTATAATAAATGCCTTTTTTTGGGCCCAAGAATCCAAAAATGAAATAAAATACCGGGTGTTCCATAAGAAAAAATATAACTTTGGTATCAATCTTAGTTCTGAGACACCCTGTATATTTCAAAATAATTTTAAATTGTGCACATTGCCTCCCCACATATACCCATAAAATATTTTGTTTCTACATCTTTCCGTTTTCGTATAATCAACCGAGGCGAATGAGGTGCGCCACCCTGTATGAGATAACAGAAACCCAAAATATATTTGCTTAAATCAATTCTAGTATTAAAAGCTTGACCAACACAATTATCTTTAACTTAGGGTTCAATAATAATTATTTTTATTGATATTTATATATTCAATGGTTTTGCTATAAGTATTAAAAGAATAAGTATAAAAAAATATCAGACTATCGAAATGTATATCAGATTATATATTTTGATTAATTATTGTTATTTATTATTTATGAGAAAATTATTTATGGCAAAATATAGAAAATAACATACTTTGTAGAAAATCTTCTATTGTATCGATCAATTCATCGCATTTTAAGGCTTCCAAATCATTTTTTCCAACCAAATTGAATTTTTTCGCTAAATATCGGGCAATGGCGCGACTCTGTGCCACTTGTTGACCATCAATTTCAAGCACAGGCAGCTGTCCAAAAGGCGTTTCTAAAAAATATGATTCATAATATTTTAACGTACATACAGTGTCCCATATAAGAACGCATATCATACAGGGTTATCGTAAACTATAAGAGATAAACGAAGGTGACTAAATTCGATATAAGTTGTGCCTTGCTGAAACCTACAATGTCGTGTTTCAAAATCTAAAAAATTCCGAAGATATTTGAGAAAAAAATTTTCTCTATTATATTTTTATTTTTTTCTGACTCTACTTACAACTTCTTCTGCTGTAAAAGTATATATTATTATATTTCCAAACTGATTGAGAGTTTTTTTTGCATTTTTTCAATAAATTTTTACGTTTATTACCTCTTACATGCAATAATGTAGTACACTTGTTCAAAAAATAATTCGGAATATATATTTCCATTGGAGGCAATGTAGTGAAGGAAGAATACTGATATTAATATATGGGTTTTAGTAATTAGTGTGCATAAAAAAGTGCGATACATCATTATATTTGGGAGCTGTTACATAATATTTGTAAGGTTTTTATGGACACCTTGCATAATATTTGATAAATCATTTTAAACATCTTATAAAGGTGGACTCTGACGACTCGTGTACTTGACAAATATTTGACATTAGCAGATACTTGCCAAGTTGTGTGAGCGATTTAGTTGTGCAATTAATCGTCACTCGTCGCGCCGCGTCGTGAGCCCCAGGCTTGTTACATGAGTAGTACATGAGTACAGGGTGGGTCAAATTCGACGCTTTTAAATGGAATCACCCTTTTCTATAGGAGATAGACAAAAACTAATATCGGTGCCTGGAGCTCAATTTTTGTCAAAAACATGATGGTGAAAACAGCATATCGATATCTGTTACCGTTTCGGAGTTACGGAGTGTTTTTCAAAAATATGCATTTTTAACAAATCGCTGTAACTTTTTTGCATTGGAAAATTTTGTATTTTTATGAAAACATTTCTAAAGCACTTTTTTACGTAGAATTTAATGGTTTAAGTATAATATTTTTAATATTAACAATTTAAGAATTATCAACAGAAAATTTGATTTTTTATATGGGACACCCTGTATTTTTTTAATTTATTGAAACGAATTTAAAATTACCTTTCCAAAAATATAACATATTAGATATTTTGCTCGATTCCTCTTCGAGATATAGAGTATATAAAAATTCGCCCGCTTTAAATAAGTAGGCTTTGAACGGCACCGGCGCCGGCTGTAATGCAAAAAAATTCTAGCTATGAGCATCAATTAAAACGAAAATAATATTTGCTATGAGAGATGCAGAATTTTATAACAATTTAAAATATATTTAACCTACATCAACACATTTAAACTATATCTAATAACAACAAAAATAAATAGCAAACCAAGACATGAGATTTTGCTACAGGTGTTCGACATATCGACCGTCTTATGGTATGGACAGACGGAGCATTTTTTGAACATTTCTCGCGGAATTCATTAACTCTGTGGAAGTGAAAGATACCCTCTCATAACTGCTAAGTATATATTTCTAATTCTTGTCTAGATTATACGGAAGAATAAGGAACCTTTATTCTTCCGCAAATATATTAGGATTAGATCCATGGGCACTAAGTCAGGCGGCCCGGACGGCCAACGGCTGGGATCTTTGTTAGCTACCTATTCAATTATTCTTGAAATTGGAGAGGCGGTGCGTCGTCTTGCAGGAAAAATATGTTTTCGAGTTCCATTAAGGGCATATCATCAATAAGGGGTCCAAAGCCTACTAGTTAAAAGTGGCGAACTATTAAAAATTCTGTATTTCGAGGGGGATTATAACAAAATATCAAGTGTGCTATATTTTTGGAAAGGTAATTTTAAATTCTTTTCAGCTAATTAAAAATATAGAGGGTGTCCCAAATAAAAAATCAATTTTTCTGTTGATAACTCTTAAATTATTAATTTTAAAAAAATTATACTTAAACCATTAAATTCTACCTAAAAAGGTGCTTTGAAAATGTTTTCATAGAAAAACAAAATTTTCCATAGCAAAAAAGTTACAGCGATTTGTTAAAAATGCACACATCTGAAAAACACCCCGTAACTCCGAAACGGTAACAGATATTGATGTGCGGTTTTCACCATCATGTTTTTGATGAAAATTGAGCTCCAGACATCGATATTAGTTTTGGTCTATCCCCTATAGAAAAGGATGTTTCCATTTAAAAGCGTCGAATTTGACCCACCCTGTACATGAGTCATTAGCATCCGCCTTTAGAGTTGATATTATCTACGGTATGTCCCCGGATTGTCTTTACGAGAGGAAACACTTTTTTATTGATATTTTAAGAAAAAAGCGATCTTCATAATAATGTTTGCTTGTTTTAAAATGGTTAACTCCGTTTATAATTTTCCAAATTTCCATGCCGTTTTAGAGAATTTTTGACTCATGTAAAAAAAATCCCATACGAAGCGGGTAATTTTCGGCGAAAATTGCCCGCTAAAATCGAAAATTACCCGGCGAAAATTTCCCGCAGAATGTCTAAGTGACAATGACACCACATTTGTTAGGTACCTACTGAGACGTAAATTATTTTAATAGGTATTCTAAAAATGTCTAGATTTGGAAACGATTCTTTAAGTGCAACTGAAGTAAAAGTTGCTCAAAGTAAGCCGAAAACACTATAATTAATCACCAGTATATATGAAAACAGTTTATGGACTTTATAAAAGATAGAAACTACATTTTGGATGCGAACAGCTCAATCTCGGCACTGGCCAATATTTTGACCGAATAACCACCGACCATTTAATATGAAAAGGAAAAACGGCCAAGACTATAAGGATTTTACGGTAAAAACTATTTGGAATGTAACAGCCATGCTATTAATGGAAAAATACCAAAAAGAATAAAATATTAAATTTAATCCTTTTACTGACACCGAATTTGAAAATATCCCGGGAGGCAAAAAGTGCCAAAAGGAAGGAATTGCAGATGGACCCTCTAAAAAGAAAAGAAAGCTCTAAGGCACTCAAATACGAAGAATTCAAATTGATGGTACGAAATTGCAATGAAGAATGTTCCGATGGTTTGCAAAAAAAAATTGTATTATCCTACGAATGGGCATGGCGAGGAGGAGAGGGAGAAAAATGTTTTGTTTCCTATTTTAAAGACGATATTGAGAATATACGACAACCCACCGGTCGCATTGAATACAACCCGATATTCGATAAAACCACTCAAGAAGGATATAAAAACCTTGTGTTCCGTCCAAATGGCTGGTCATAAATAGAGGTCAACCGGATATATGTCCAGTAAGGCTATTCAAACAATTTATGGAAAAAAGAAAATTAATTAATGTTCCAAGATTGTTTTTAACTGTAAATTCTTCCTGGAAAATGGGTAAATGGTTCAAGAAGCTTCCTGTCAGTTAAAAATACGATTGCTCAATGGGTGTCTATCGAAGCGAAAAAATCAGGTTTGGCTACGGAGAAAGTAAAAATTACAAATCATTCGCTACGTGCAACAGCTGTGTCGATACTAGCAAAGAAGGGGGTTGAGGAGAAGACAATGGTCAAAATAGCTAGGCACGCAAACCCGAAGTCAATTAAACCTTACCTTCAACTCGATGATGAACATCATGCAAATTTGGTAGAAAAAATGAGAGACAATGAAATTGCTACAAGTTCTATAATAATAATACTGATGTTTTTGTACCTACTATAGGTTGTTTTAATAATTTCAATTCAAATTCAGCATCTTCAAGTACCGCAACGGAATCTAAACATAATAATTTTTATAACTGTGTTTTTCACTGCAATTCTTCATGTAATTTTTAATTTCTAATATCATAAGTTTTGTTTCATTTTATTGCTTCATTTTTAAATAGATTTTTTTAATATGTTCAAATAAATGTTTTTAAAAAATCTATGTATTCTCATATTTTTTATTCGGGAAATATTCTACCGAATTACACTCGTGCATCGAAATTAACCTGATAATTTTTCATTTAAGCACGTTGTCAATAAAAAACAGCATTCGTTTATATGCACATGCAATTTCATTAAAATCGGTTAAGGCGTTTCGGAGGAGTACGGTAACTAAAACTGTGACACGAGATTTTGATATATTAAATGGCTCACTTACTGTTTTTATATTCAGGCCATTGATCCTTTGGTATTCTGATATCTTCGAAACTTTGATTTCCATATGCAAATAAATGTCTAATGATTGCACCTCGACCTGCTGCATCAAAATAGTAGAGTTTATAAGTCGAAGCCATTTTATTCTGTTAAAAAACACTTTAAATTAAATAAAGTACAATTATTATTGTGCTAATACGAAGGACGCTTACTGAATCAGCTGTTGGAGGAGCATTAATTTGTATTTATAACGAAAAAAATTTGAAGCGTCATCGTTATATTGCATATGTTATCGCGGTGAGTCGTATTTATTCAAGTCCAGATGATTCGAACAACAAACTCATTTTTATTGATAAATAATCAGATATTAAAGGATTATTCGTTGTTCCGTTTCAAAACATCAACAGGTACTTGTATTATGTAAGATAAAGAGCTATCAATAAGTTTATTTAATATAAACATACATATAAAGAGTGTCCCAATATTTGGCGGATATCAAACTAGTATGTAATTTTCATATTAAAAAAAATTACTGAACACATATTATTTCTATACTATAGCGCTAATTCCTTACAGATTATCAATTTAAAAAATATATATAATAATGACCGATATTTCGATTTATATGAGATTTGCAGTGTCTATGTTTTGCTAAACGCTTTATTTCTCTCTTTATTCTTGTGGAGATTTGACTACAGTTGGGGGTTGGAACCTTTGGTGTTACACAGCAAAATAAAATACTAAATCACCACAATACACCAAAACACATTTACTTTTAAGTGTAAAAGCGGGACGCGCGTTTCGCCAACCATGTTAGCATTATCAGCAGATGATTAAACTAAATTACAGTCTACAATTTGAGCGTTTATATACTCGCTCAGTGGGCACCGAGTGGGCGGGGCAAAATCTAGTCAACCGAGCGTAACAGTCAGATTTCCGCTACTAGAGTAGTAGGAACAAAGAACTTGAAGGAATTGGACCGTTGTCTCTGTTCATACTATCTTTACATTTATTAATTCTGATGCTCTCATATGCATCTAATTGTCTGTAATTTGAGACTTTTTAATTAATTTTAAATTATTAAGATCTATACAATGTTCTTTATCAACAATACGTTCAGCAACGCAAGATTTATCCGGTCTACCATATCTTTTCTGAGATAAATGTTCTTTAATATAGTTAAAATTGATCTTCTAGTTTGCCCAACATAATTCTGATTATAATCTTTACAAGAAATTTCATGAATACCCGACCTTTCCAGTGGAGGTGTTTTATCCTTTGGAATATCTAATAATTGTTATAATTTATTATTAGCCATATACACGTGTGCCCCAATGTTGTGGTCCCATGTGTGTTCCAGTGACTAACCTAAAAAGTACAATTTGAGCGTTTATATACTCGCTCAGTTGGTACGGAGTGGGCGTGGCAAGATCTAGCCAACCGAATCAGAGCCCACTGAACGTAACAGTTAGATTTCCGTCACTAGAGTAGTAGGAACAAAGCACTTGAAGGAATTCGACCGTCGTCTCTGTTCATACTATCTTTACGTTTATTAATTCTGATGCTTTCATATGCATCTAATTGCCTGTAATTTGAGATTTGTTTAATTAATTTTAAATTATTAAGATCTATACAATGTTCTTTATCAAAAATATGTTCAGCAACGCAAGATTTATCCGGTCTACCATATCTTATCGGAGCTAAATATTCTTTAAATCTCGTTAATATTGATCTTCTAGTTTGCCCAACATATTTCTGATTGCAATCTTTACAAGAAACTTCATAAATACCCGACCTTTACAGTGGAGGTGTTTTATCCTTTGGATTACCTAATAATTTTTATAATTTATTATTAGCACTATACACAAGTTTATAATTGACATTCTTAAAAATTCCTTTTAGACCACGTGATAACTCTCTATCAAACAGTATTGAAAAATATTTTGACGTATCTTTAAAATCATTAACCTAGACCTACGTTCTCTAATTATTTTATCAACTAGTGAAGGAGAATATCCATTACACCGAGCTATATTCCTAATGTAATCTCTTTCTATTTTATATCTTTCGTTGGTAAGTGAAAAACTAAGTAATCTATGAACTAAGAAATTTAAACTAGCCATTTTATGTTCACAATTATGATATGATTCATTAGGAATATATCTGGGTGTAGTGGTATTTTTTCTGTAGATATCAAATTCCAGACAATTATTAGTATTTATAATAACTAATCCATGTAGAAATGGTAATCTGTCGTCGTTCTCAGTTTCATGTGTAAATTTTATGGAAAGAAAATAATTATTTAACTTAGAAATAAAATTATCTATGGTGTCTGAATGTGTGTCAAAAACAGCAAAAATATCATCTACACTTCAAACCTGCTCATGAATAAATTAGCCAAAAATGGAGACAATGGATTACCCTTTGCTGTACCTTCCCGCTGTTCAAAAAAGTTGTTATTAAATTGAAAACAATTTTGTTTCATACATAACGATGTAAGCTCAATATATTCAATCGCAGTTTTGTTGTCGAGACCATTTGCGTTCAGTAATTCCTTCAAGTACGCTAGAGTATGTGGAACTGGAACATTTGGGAACAACGAAGATACATCAATGGAGACCAAAATTTCACCCTCATGCAATGTTATATTTTTAATTTTGTTAATGAATTCAATATTATTTTTAACTCAAAAAGAGGGTTCATGATTAGGTAAATTTTCGAACTCCCTTGATAACCATTTTGCCAAATTATAAGTCGGAGAGCCTACAGCCGAAACAATTGGGCGCATAGACTTATCCGGTTTATGAATTTTTGGCAACGAAACTGTACAACGAAATACTAATACTAAATAAACAGTACAACAATAAAACAACAAAATTGTATGCATTATTTTTAACACAGCCATGGCACTCTAGATTGAAATGCAAAATACGATTTTTCTTTTAGCGCAAATTTGTCAAATTTTGACACCGAGGTCAAATATACCGAGGGTGTCATTTAAAAATCAAAATAGTCATTTCCGGTGAAACATGAAGTGGTCAAAATCAATTGAATACGTCAATTCTAATAATAATCATATACTTTTGATTTTATCGATGAACCAATACCAAATCTCGTTTTTTATCTGAAAAAATAAAAAAGTTATAGTTAAAGTTTCGTGATTAGTTAGTTATAATTAAAAAACTAAATTATAGAAAGTTATATTTTGGAGACGCACTCGGTATTCTTTAATAACTCTTCTGGCCTTTTTTGGAAAATGTACAGAAAATAAATCTTTACCGCCTGTAGACTATTTCCACCGTAACACCACTAAGCTATATATTTTTTCTTCAGTTTTATAATTCATATTTACAAATTATTTTTGGCAACAATAACCTCAATTTGACATTTAAAACTTGAAATCTGACGGTGGCATATTTGCTATTTCAATAAGGACCGGATTATTTTTTAATTAATTTAGAATTTTAGTATCTCTCATAACTCAAAAACGATTTCGTATCAAATTATTCCAAATGAACAATTTGCTTCATTTTAAGGAGTTCTTTGAAAAGTTTCAAATACATTTTTCTGTAAACTGTAATGAGATAAAATTTATACATCATTTTAAAAATGTACATGAAATATTCTATTATGATTATTGTTAGTTCCCAGTAGTTAATATGCACAAAAAAAAATCGTTCGTGTTTGGGAAGGCTTGAAAGGAAACAATGTTTTTGCGACGATTCGCGACTTTATTGTCGCTTCTTCAGGTACTATAGGAGAAGCAGTTTTATTTACTAAAAACATCAAAATAAAATCAACTGACCACTTACCCAAAACATATATTAATCCATATTATGCCTACAAATATTCATTCCAACCGCCAACACTAAGACACATACAGACGAATCGAACAGAAACTTAAAGGGTATTTTTTGGCCCGATATACACCGATGCTCCGTTTGTGTCGTACTGACACCAGTTGAATTAATTTCGGTACCAAAAAAAGGATTGATTTTTTGTTTCCTTTATCATTAATTTCTTTCCCTGTATCTCTGGTGCTCTGATGCAGGCCGGTCGGCATCGCCATAAACAAACAAACGGAATCATAATGTGGGCCCGATAGTAATTAAAATTAAATATTTTTTTTTAAATTATTTATCAACAAATCAAAGATAAAAGACTAAAAAAATATTAAAAATTAAAGAAACATAATATAAAAGAAGCAAAAAAATGCGTTTAGTTAAAATCGAATGAAAAGTAAAATAAATAATACATTGAGTACACAAGTAGGTATATAATATGTATAAACAAAAATAATTAACAGGTGTAGATAAAAAAAAAACAACGCTTTATTGTACAAAAAGCCAAAACAGCTTCATCGACAAAGCAAAACAAAAAAAGCACAAAAACAAATATACAAATAATACAAAAAATGTCATACAATACAAATCAATTCAAAAAAAAATTACGTCATAAAATTACAAATAAAACATATATGGACATTGCAGAACACAGGCGTATCTAGAAAATTTTACAAAAGGAAAACTGTAAATGGATAAAATCATGTTATAATAACATAAAATCAAGAGTTATAAAATATTAAATACTAGACCTTTAACCAGTGTGTGAGATGATCAAAATATTAAAATTAAAATTCTAAATTGTTCATGATCAAACATCAACAAAAAAGTCGTTTGCCGCATATAGGGCTCTCTCCAGTAAGTATGATTTCAGAGCTTTGCGAAATGCGGGAAAGAATGCAAATAATACAATTCAAAAAAATTTAAGTCATTAAAATAACAAAAAGAATATATATGGACAATTGCAGAACAGTACGCAGTAAATAGATATAATTTTCGAGTTATAAAATATTAAATACTTGACCTTTGACCAGTGTGTGAGATGATCAAAATTTTAAAATTCAAAATTGTTCATGATTAAACATCAACAAAAAAGTCGTTTACCGCATATAGGGCTCTCTCCAGTAAGTATGATTTCAGAGCTTTGCGAAATGCGGGAAAGAATGAAAGTGACTTGATATTCGAAGGCAAATGATTGTACATTTTCTTGGCATTGTACAGTATTGAGCCCTTAACTAGTTCTGAGCTCGGGGTTGGCAGATAAATATCGTGCTCCGCATTCCTAAGTGGATAGTTGTGAGAAGGCCTTTCCGGAATAGAGAATATGTGCTTGCGGATTAAGCAAACGGATTCAAAAATGAATAAGGAAGGAAGAGTCAGTATTTTGAAATTTTTAAAGAAATTCTGGCAGTGAGTTCTACTGTTTAGTCCCAATAAGTATCGAACTGCTCTCTTTTGAAGTTTGAAAATACGATCAAATTTTGTCGCGCAGCAAGTACCCCAGAATGGAAGGGCATAACGAAGATGCGACTCAAAAAGGGCATAATAGACCATTCTAGAGGTTGATGAGTTAAGTTCCTTAGACACTGATCTTAGCGCAAAACAGGCAGAGCTTAGTTTCTTTGATAAGGCTTCGATGTGTAAGTCCCATTTTAAAGAGTTGTCCACAACAAGTCCTAAGAATCTCACCGAGTCCACGACGTCAATAGTGGTGTTATTAAGTACAAAAGGTTGTATAGTACTTTTATATGACAAAACTTTAGTTTTTGAAAGATTGAGGCATAGGAGATTAGAATCGCACCAATATTTAATGGTGCGTAAGTCACTGGATATAGTATCATATAGTGCCGTAACATCTGGCCCTAAAAACAGCCACAAAACTTCAATGTGGCAATATCAATACTGGCAATATTGCCATAACAATAACTCTGCACAAGGAAGAAACACACAATCGCGACGGAAAAAGTAAGAGAGCTTTAAAGAAAGCAGGGCCGGCGGAAGGGCCGGGGCGCCGAATGTGAGGAGCGCCACGCCAGCAACTAAAATATTTAAAAAAAAATTGTTCGTGGTATTTTACTTATAACTGATTTTGTAAATAACCTTCTTTCTATAATTCTTGTTTTTATAAATTTTCTCTAAACAGTAAACTGTTTTGGGTCAAGAGCCAGCAAAATTGACAGTTTTAGACTGACCGCTCAAAATTGCACTTTGTCCACTACCCACACCCTTTATTTGTTAATGGCTGATCTGCCCTAAAATTATATGAAACAAATATTCAATTCGCAAGAAGCTATCCTATTATTACCCGATATCATTATCAAAAAAAGCTTGTAAGTTTGCCACATTAATATATTAACAGTAGTGGCAAAAATATCAATCTTTTGGTGATTTTGATTGTTCTGGATTGAATATCTAGAAATACAATGTAAATGGTAGCATAATCGTAGAAATTTCTCATTAAAGCAAGACAAATGAATGCATCTCAAATCTCAAAACTGTATCTGATCATACCTATACTGATTCTGTACGAAATAATTGATTGTGAAAAAGAGAAGAAGTTTTTCTTAAATTCTTATAGAAAAATAATGCAATTGCTTGCAACTAAATAATAGTAATGTTTTCAAAGATCACTTATACTTATCATTTATATACCAAGTGCGTCTCAAAACTGGCTCACTCTTATAACTTGTTTATTTTTTCAGATGAAAAAACGAGATTTGGTATGTTAGTATACGACATAAATTAGAATTAATTGACGTATTCAATTGTTTTTGATCACTTCCTCTTTCACCGGAAATTAAAAAAACTGTTGATTTTTAAATGTCAACCTCGGTATATTTCTACTTTATGCGATAGAAAATGACAATCTGAATAGAATGACATATCATATGTCAACTTTTGAAATTTTCGCATAATATGGTTTGAAATTGAAAATTTGAAATTGTAACATACGGTTCATAACGACAATTTGACTCGAAATATCAAGTGTTTGGTACAAAATTATTCGTAAAAAATTCTTTTTCCAAATATGCAAATGAGCAACTTGTTCCATTTGAAAAAATTGGCATATGATTAAAAATACGATTTGGGCATTTTTTAACCCACCAGGACAAGACACGAAAAATATTAGACGATCAAATCTATTTTTCCAAGGCTCCTTGTTTAAAAATTAGTATTTTTAACACAGACGTGGTACTGTAGATTGAAATTTAAAATACGATTTTTTTGAGCAAACTTGTCAAAAGTTGACATATGATATGTCATTATACTCAGAGTGTCATTTTCTATCGAATAAACCAGAAATATACCTACCGTCGGTGCCATTTAAAAATCAATAGTTTTTCGTTGAAACAGAAAATGACCAAGAACAATTGAATAAGTCAATCAATCCTAATTTATGTCATATACTAACATACCAAATTTCGTTTTTTATCTAAAAAATTAAAAGAGTTATAGGGGTGAGTCACTTTCAAGATGCACCCGGTATAGAAAAAACAACAACCGCGTACTAAGATTGAACGAAGAGAAGAATTTTGAAGTACCTTTAAGTGAAATTTTATTGTTAGAGTAGCCTAAATATACTTAGTTGTTATGTTAACATGTTAACTATTGGGGGGCGCGCCAGGTAGGGTATTCGCCCGGTCTCAATATTTCCCTTCCGCCGGCCCTGAAAGAAAGACACACAAAATGTTCACACACGAAAGCACCCCCAACATACCCCAAAAAAAACAAGAAAAACCCTGCATGATTAAACCTTTTTTCCTTTATTATTTTTTTTTGTACTTATTTAAAATGTTGCTATATATTACACTGAGACCCTGGGTATCAGACCTCATGTTTGTTCATGTTGACACCCTGTTCAAATTGATATGAATCATTTCGCCTATGTTGCGTTTATACCAGTTTGGTTCTTTCTCGCAAACCATAATATCATCAAAATTAAATTCATGTAGATGGAATATTCTATGTTCGTTCATGGAATATTCTATGTTCGACGGTGCAACAAATTATGTAAATAAAGGTCGACGATGCAACAGATTATCTAAATTGAAATATTATATAGTGTGGTCCGAACTGTATTCCAGAAACTGCATTAGCATATTCAGCAGGAAAAAAAATGAGTAAAAAACTTCGTGTAAATATATGTCCTAAAATTCTTAGTTTTACACTTTTACGAACTTATTAATAAAAAAATAAAAAAAAAGTTTGGAAGATACAGGGTTTATTATTTGATTGAAATGATAAATTTGGGAACTTTTTATTCTTTTAAATTAAACACAAATTTTTCTTCGAAAAAATTATGATAAAATAGTTTCTGCTGAACTTTTGGCACAAACACATTTGAAATTTATGATTTCAGTCTAATAGCTATTTAGTCAACATGTTTAATTTATGTGAATGATGAGAGGTATTGATAATTTTGATTCCAAATATCTCAGGAATCATTACTCGTGGCGACTTTTACGAAGAGATCTTTTCTACGTAAAAAACGTCGTGAAGGTATATTTTTTATTCAGTAGTTTTATACAGGTGCGGTGGCACCCTCTACAATTAGGAGTCATATTGACATCAAAATTTATCATGTTAAAAAAACACCCAGATGCCAATTTTCATCCAAATATTGACGTTACTTCATAAATTATTTGGAAAAAATCGAAATAAAAATGAAACTTCTACACCCTGTATATCTGAAACTTCTTATTTATTTTTATCTGCAGAATATGCCGCCGAAGTTTCCAGAATACAGTTCGGACCACCCTGTATAAGTTAAATTAACTATATGATTCTTCTAGGGCAAATGTTCCTCATGAACCGATTCTTCGACGGTGCCTTCCTTATGTTCGGCCTCGAAGTCATCTCCTTCATCAACACCGACCAAGAGGACCGAATCGACCCCATGATCCAGATCTTCCCCCGAATGACCAAGTGCACCTTCCGCAAGTACGGCCACTCCGGCGACGAGGAAAAACACGACGCCCTCTGCATCCTACCTCTCAACGTGGTCAACGAAAAAATCTACGTCTTCCTGTGGTTCTGGTTCATCATTCTCTCTGTGCTCACGTTCCTCACGGTAGTTTACCGGATAATAATCATATTTTCACCGCGCATGCGTGTGTACTTACTGCGCATTCGCTATAGGTTAGTGCGCCGAGAAGTTATAGACACGATAGTGCGTAGAAGCAAAATGGGCGATTGGTTTCTGTTCTATATGTTAGGCGAAAACGTGGACTCGTTAATATTTAGGGACGTGTTACAGGATTTGGCACATAAGTTGAACAGGCACGATTTTCATCACGCGCCCGGATTTAAGGGTGAAATTCAGGAAGCGTAGGAAAGCATTTAGTTTGGTGTTTTTTTATTGGGATCTCATTTCTCGAAATCTCATCATTATTTTTAGGCTAACGATTGGCGGTGCCTTATGTTTAGTATACTCTAGATAAGTTACGACGAAAAATATAGATACAGATATTATCAACGAAAAATAAAGAAAGATACTGTCGAAAAAAAGCTTTTCACGACCTACAGTATACCGTGTGATGCATAGGAACGCGGGACAGGAATGTCCATGTAAATTTTGAAAAAGTCAAATATTATCTCACCAGATGATTTTATGCAAAAATTTTGTTAAACATTTTCGCAGAGGCGTTAAAGTTGTGCTGTTGTCTAGAATTTTGTTTTATTTGGAATAGACTTTTAAAAGTTATTTGCAAAAATCTCCCTTCAAATTACTAAAAATTTATAATACGGCTCAGAGAAAGCTACAATTAAAATACCAGCAAAAATAAGATTTTGTCATTGTCAAATTCGATGTCACATTTTTTTTGTTTACAGGAATTTTTGTATTTTGAAAAATATAGTTATTCTTTTCTTAATTGGAATGATCACCTACAAACAGGGGTGGACGGAGAAGTGGAAACCGGCCCGGGAATAACATATTTTCAATAAAGGAAGTGGCAACTGGCCCAAATCCACAAAAACAAAATGACCATAACGAAGAAACATATATTATTTATTAATATACAGGGTGTCCCAGAAATAAGTGAAGTATTTTAACTGGTAGTATAGTTCAACCGCAGAAACACGCCTATGACATTTTTTTCGCTAAAAAAAAAAATTAAAATTCGAAATTTTTTGGAATTTTTGTTTAGTTTCTAGTTAAAAATCATAATTTCCTGACAATATGGCAACATAGATATTAGATTAAATTTACAAGAAAGAAAATCCAGAAACGATCTAGTGGTTCTAAAATTTTTAGCAAAAAATCATTTTTTTTTGGAAATTTTCAAAGTAAAATAACTCCGTTGTTTTAGACTTATTTAAAAAACGATAAGGAGAAAATATGTTTCTTTTATCGAGGTCTATCACCCCTTAAAATACTTGCACTTATTTCTGGGACACCCTGTATAAGTAAGGGTGTTTTTCGCTCGTGCGTAAAAAAATAGTTTTTTGAAACTGAAATTGTCTTGATCAAATTTTAACAAAGATCAATTTTACAGGGTTCTACTGCTTTATTTCTCAGGGTCAGTTTTACAGGGTGCTACTGCTTTATTTCCATTTTCGATAAAGGTAATTTGATCTTGAATAGGCTACGATTTTGAGAAACTTTAAGACTTCCTGATTCATTCAGTTCAGCTGGCCCAGTCCTCTGTGAAATACATTATTTTTAGTTTTTCAAGTATATACTTTCTTACACATTGTAGAAAGAAGTTCTCTCTTTTTTGGTAGAGCAGCATCCTCGTCGTGTATATACGTGTTTTTAACTGAATGAACCGCTGCCGCCATTAAAACTGCTGCATTTTTTAGGTTATTATATTAGTTCTTACAATGACTAAAGAATATAAGGACATGTAACGCCCCTATACGGGCTGCAGCAGAATTTGTGACCTTTTTTTTTGTTTTGGTGGCAAACAATGAGTCATCATTTGGTCACCAGCGACAATTTTAGCGATTTTTAGTAGTTCGTGTGTAGTAAAGTTTGTATAAACTTTATTACAATGGTGATTAGCTGTTCAGCTTTCAAGTGTAAAAGCAGCAGCGATAAGAAAGAGCCAGGAGTTACGTTTCATAGGTAAATAAACAGTCCACTCCAACTTTTTAGCGTTTTCTTATTGAATTCGATAATTATTCTTCAATTTCAATTAACATCTATATGTACTTGATATGTTCTATACGTCGATACTAGTTTTGTACCTTTTGTTAACATTTTAATATGTTTTTTTCGTAATTAATTAGGATGATACACCATAGGCGTAGTCAAAACAATTATCAAAAAATATAAATAATGCTTCAAACAGCTAGGTTAAGAAAAATATGAGCTACGGCACTGTTTGGTGTCTTCGTCACAATTTGCTCTCGGGTGTTATTTGTCCTTGGATTCTTTAGTCATTGAGTACTTATCACTTTTCCTGTTATATTTTTCTACATTTGACATCTTGTATTGAAAAAACCTAGACCTAGGCACTGGATATAAATGTGTTCTGAGATAATGCTATGTTACAGTCCATAATAAGAATATTTGGATTTTCCAGACAGAATATTTTATTACCTAATCTAGTTTAAACCTCATTTAACTCTTTTCTTCTGTCTCATTAATTTTTAGTAAAGTTATTTTAGCAACATTTTAAACAACAGTTTAGACTTGGCTTTTAGTTCTCAAGCATACAGATAGCCATCACAAGTTTTCTCTGTCAACGGCAGAGTTCGCGTCAAATTCGTCAATCTTTTTACAAAGGGGAGCAAGGTGTCGCAGCTTTTTCAAAAAAATATTGCACCGAGGCCCCCAGTTGTCAATCTACGTTACCGAATTCTTAGTATACATTTAGATCGAGACTATTTAAATTTACCTAATACGATTCATTCTTTTTTCTGCTGCCATTGAGTCATATTTATTAGTTATTAATAAAAGAATAGTGGTAAAACTATACAAGGTGACTCTTAAATAAGTGCAAATAGTTTGATATATTTCGACCCCAAGAACACGTCTATGAGATTTTTTTTGCAAAAAAAATGTTAAAAATCGTGCATTTTCTTTGAAATTTTTCTGTATATTTAAAAACTTTTTAGAACTTCCTGTTCGCCGCAAATTTTCTCAGAGAAAGACATCTTATAATAGTTAGGTATTTTACAAATTGGTGTTTATGTTTAAAAGCAACTGACGATTATACTGATGCAAATTGATTAGTTAGTTATGGAGTCTCTAAGAATCTTGCGTCACTTTAGTTAGAAGATTAACCATTTAAATTTTGCTAATGCAATATTTTTTTGAGCTGTGATCGGGACCGGCCGGCCCACCGACCCATCTTTCTACCGGCCCACCGGGCATTTTTCCGTTTTCCCATATGGCCCATCTACCCCTGCCTACAAAAGAATTAGTTGAACTGAGAATAGTATTCGCGGTGTATGACTTGTTTGCTGTTCATTACTCGATCACTCGCATGCCTCTCTCATAACACATACATCCACAATAATTTAACAAATATTTATAACTAAAGGAACTTTATTAAAATATGCTAATTAATACAATGTTTACATAATCCCCCATTCAGAGCCAAACAATGCCCCAAATGATTATAAAATACGCGGCTCACAATACAAAGCTGTTAAGTGGAGAAACTTTAGCATTCAACAGAGATGCCAATCTAAATTCCATCTAAATTTCTGTATATAATATGCCCATAAAAACGGGTTTTGAATGTTTTCCATAGGAAGAAATCATTCGGCAAATGATCCTGTGGTATTTTTCTACTGTATCCCCAATAAACGGGAGTCAATGTTTATCTTTTCTTCAATATGAAGAATATTCAAGTCATTGTTGTTTTCTTCCTGTCCAGTTATTTTTGTCTTTACACTTCCATGGGCTTTAATACCGTGGTGCCTTTAGTTTCAAACCTCTGGTTTATTATTTAAACTGTTGACTTACTCGGTATAAGCTTTCCGAAGACTGAGCTGTGAACATATCTAACACAGCGACAATACTATTCCCTGCAAAATGCTGTTTAACCATCTTAACTTTTTCAGAAGTTTGGAAATTCATAATTATTTTATACAAATTTACTCTATATTTAGTACCTTCAAATTTTTATAAACAAAATGTGACATCGAATTTGACCATGATAATCACATGTTTGCTGGTATTTTAATTGCAGCTTCTCTGGGCCGTATTATAAATTTTACTAATTTGAAAGTACGTTTTTGCAAATAACCTTTAAACGACTATTCCAAATGAAATGAAATTCTAGACAAAAGTACACCTTTAACGCCTCTTCAAAAAAGTCTAATACAACTTTTGCATAAAATTCTGGTGAGATAATATTTTTTGGATTCTTTCAAAATTTACATGTAATTTTTTATTTCTCGTGGTCCGATGCACCACACGATATATTTTTTTTAAATATATTATTGATAAGACTCTGATTTTTATCATATATTACAAAGTTGTTCTGGACAATAATGTGGTATTGTTTCTTCAGTTTTAATATATAATTAAAAGTTATTAAACACATACAGACCAAATTTGGATATAACCCATATTGAGTAACACAGAGGAGCAAGCTACTTTCCAACCAAGCTTCTAATGTTTTCGAAGTAAAAATGATGTATAAATGAATAAATTCAGATATCTTTTTTATTTTAACACATCATAAAATCGAAAGAAAAATGGGTTAGAGGTGGCTTGGACATGACAATTGCTGTCATTTTATATGCAAAATTACGTGGGTATTTGCAACTGGTTCTCGTATCATGAGGCATTTATGATGAGCATTTAGACATTGTTAAACCCAGTTTTTAATTTAAACAAATCTAAATTATAATTAAGATCTCAGATCAGCTTCTTCCAAAATTCGAACTTTATGATTGGCTCTTCTAAAATCTATAGAGCTTTTAATAGTTTCTTTAGGTTACAATATACTTAACGATTGGGTTGTGTCGACAACTGTATATTAAATAGATAAAAATAGCAGGTTAGTCGTGACTGACTAAGTTAAGAAAAAAACTCAAAATTTAAGTGAGGATGTAGTCAATAATCACCACATAGGCTAATAAAAGCCTATAAAGCCTTTTATAAGCCTATGTGGTGATTATTGACTGCATCCTCCCTCTCTCAAACCAAACCAAAGCACTCTCCCAAACCAAACCAAACCAAGCCTATAAAGCCTTTTATAAGCCTATGTGGTGATTATTGACTGCATCCTCACTTAAATTTTGAGTTTTTTTTTATTAAATAGATATGTAAACGCAATATTTGATATGTCACAAATGTTGCTTTTGTTTTTTTTTGAGGGGGCGGGTTAGGTTGTAACCCACCCCCTCGAAAGTTTAAGTAAGAAATCTTAAAAAAACACGTACCATTAATCTAGAAAAATTGTTTGAGAAATATTGGACCAATGAGAACACTATATTATAACGCATCGTCTGTAAGCATGTTTAAATTAAAAAAGTAATATTTTGTTCTCTTCTACTTCTACTATTTTAGTGGATGAAAGGTTCAGAATTAATCTTTGATTGAACACTGGGCTAATAAACTTTATTTAAAAAATTCATAGTTTCCTAATTTCAAAATCTCATTTTTTAGAAATCTCATCGTATAACTTAGTTAGCTTGCTAGATAGGGTATTAGT